ACCATTATCACGCAAATATTTAAAGAGTGGAATATTGGAAAAATAATTGTCCATATATACATGAAAAGTTTTGGTATGAGGAAGTTGTTTCACCAAATGCCATACTAAACGTCCTGTCTCATTAAGTCCAACAACAGGTTCTATATCTGTATTCTTTTCAACCCGTGAAGTAAAAATAAATGTATATATATATCCAGCATCACAGAGTGAAAGAATTTTATAACCCTCAGGTGTTGGTTTATTCTTCATCCTTACTGTGTGTGCACTACGGCCAGAAAACCGAGCGATCATCTCATCTACAGAAACTTGTGAACAAGGTACATATAATTTTTTGCTCATTTCCCGAATATGTGATGCTAATGGTTCCACTTTCGAATACCAATATAAATGTGGTTCATTTATAGAAGAAATATGAAGAAATCTCTTTATTTGTTGAAACCGAAACAATGACATGTACTGTTTAATACTATGTATCGCTTTTTTTTCATCAGAATTCCACAAATCTTCAACCGCATAAATCTTATGAACCCCATGTAAATTACTAATGCAAACCATATTTTTAACTCATTTAATGTTAAAGGTTTCCACGAGCGGCCACCTTCACTGCCCTTTATTTGTTCATAGTTATTAGTATTCTCAACTATTGTCTGTAGTAATGTATTAGAAAAAAATAACTCAAAAAGTGTAAGCGACTTAATGGAACCTAATTGTAAATCAGATGGTAATGTTACATGACTTTTACTAAGTCCACGAGTATTTTGCATCAGCTCAAACTCTGGCAGTCCTGGGAGTGCTAATATTGGTTGTGAAGGAGTGTGTACGTCTTCTCGATTCCTACCCCCTCTTCCACTTCCTCTTCTGCTTCCTCTCCTCCTTCCCCTTCCGCTTCCTCTCCTCCTTCCTCTTTCTACACCTTTGCTTCCTCTTTCTCGAACACCTATATTGCTACTACTGTTCTGCTCATCTTCAGAGCTCTTGTTGTCCGTTTCTTCTTGCTCCGGTTCACATTCATACTCCGCAGGTATGTCTTCCTCACTGAATTCTGTTTCGTCACGGCGCCGACTCTCTAAACTAACTAAGTATTGTGAGTCTGGCGTAGTTTCAAAGTCGGTAGAATAAGACATTTTTTACTAAGAATAACTACAACAGGTAACTAACTAATGGTTTGCAACGTTAAACGTATAAAAAAATTAAAAAAATTAACGTTTATAACACTATCGGCGATTGACCAATCAAATATACATATTTCGGGTTAGTGATCGGCAAGCGATCTGCGGACAAAAAGGACTATATTGACCGACTCATGTAATGTTAGGTTACGTAATTTGAGGCACAAAGAGCTGTGGTTCTGAGGTTTCTAACGAACTATATATATTGGGGGTATTTACTTAGCGGCATCGGGAGATATGAAGCAATTTTGTTGGCGAATCAAAATTGTAGGCAAATTTGCCGACAATACAGTTTAAGGGATACAAAATGAACGTAAAGGTGGTGGAAGTTGTAGAAAATCGTGAAACTTAAATAAATAATGTGATTTGGCTTGTAAATAATGCTTCCGTTTTGAAACGTTAATAATGTCGGACAATAAGTATGATGAGATTTCACAAACTGAAAGCTTACACGCAACTGAAAGCTCACGCGAAAGTGAAAGTTCACATGTAGCT